CCCCAAAACCCCAAAACCCCAAAACCCCAAAACCCCGAAAAATTTACAAATTTTAGTCAAAAATAAATTTAATATTTTACCAAATGTCAGGATCACCTAATTCAAATTTTCCTCCTAGTAATCTTAAGCAGACTACTCTTACTTTTACAAATCCACAGACTGACCAGCCAAGTAAACTTGATAGCAAATTTGGGCTCTTAATTCTAAAATATAGTCCCTAATTTTATATTTAGGTTTATTTGGAGCTCCTCAAAAACAGAATGCAAATCCTACTGGACTTTTTTCAAGTAAAAATACAACAGCAAATAATTTATTTGGAGGGAGAGGAAACAGTACTGAAGCAAGATCTACTCCTTTTGGAGCTACAACAGCCACATCAGAGCAATCTAACAACTTATTTGGATCCAAGAGAACACTTGTAGGATTTACATTGAAGCCGCCTAGTTCATTTTCTCCACAGCCCAGACCTTTCTCAATATTAGGAGAATCTAGAGGAATATTTCAAAATAAAACGACTCCTTTCTCTTCTTCCTTCAACCAGCAACCTCAACTCGAAGCAGGTCAAGACGAGGCAGAGATTGAAGCTTGTCTAAATAATTATGCCAAGTATGTCGATCCTACAAATCCAAGGAATGCTCTTGTAGGATGAATGTACAACAAGTTCAATAAAAATGTGTCTGGGCTTCTCAAAGAGCATCTAAAAAATATCACTCCAGCAAGGGACATTGCTCAGATCCCTGAAAATTCTAAACTCAACGGAGAAAGTGTTGGATTCAAACAAGTAGAGGTACTTATTGATCAAAAGAAGTTTACTAAAGCGAAGAATGAGAACCCTAACCCTGACCAGTTATACATCAAACAAATCAACAGTTTTGAAGAACTCTATGAGTAAGATCGCAGTTTATATTTAGGCGTCTTTATAAACTTAAGAAGACAACCTCGGACATCACCGAGGTAATGAAAAGCATGAAAAAGAAGATGAACTTAGTGAAAAACAAAACTAGTTCAAAAACTATGCTGAAGAAAGGGATTAATTCACTCAAGGAAAATATGAAAATTCTCAGAGAAAAAATTCTGACCGTTCAGTCAAAAATGAGTCTTCTCCAGGAGTCTCCTTATTTATCTCTTGAGGATCATGAGAAGTTGCAAATAGTTTTTAATGAAACTACCCAGCCAAGCAAAATTCCTGGCAAGATAGAGATTGTTAAAGGGAAATTAGAAGAGCTTCTTGAAGCTAGAGGAAATCACTCATCTAACGAACCCCAAGAAATTTTCAATAAAATATCGAGCAGTGAGAAAAAGAGGGTGATTTCTATCCTGAGAGAGCAGACCAAAGGAATATTCTCTCTTATCAAAGAAACCAAGAGGAATGCATTTAAGCTTGAAGCCATTGAATTTATAGCGCAAAGTATTAAGCAAGAGAATCAGGAGAGAAAAATAAACAGTGAAAAATACGTCGACTAAAACTTTCAAATGCTTGCTAATTTTTAGGGGTTTTGGGGTTTTGGGGTTTTGGGGTTTTGGG